GGTGGCCGATGCTCCTGTCTGGCGTGCGGAGTCCTACTGGTCCTACTGGCGAAGGATGCGATAGGGCCGGTCCCTCCAGCCGATATGGAGATGGGGTTTTACTTCATTGACTTCATTGTACCCAAGAAAGGCGGTGGGTTACGACCAATCTTGGACCTGCGAGTTTTGAATCGCGCGCTTCACAAGCTGCCGTTCAAGATGTTGATGCAGAGACGCATTTTCAAGCGCATCCATCCCCAAGACTGGGTTGCAGTGATCGACCTGAAGGATGCGTACTTTCATGTCTCGATCCTCCCACGACACAGGCCATTCCTGCGTTTCACCCTCGAGCATATAGCATATCAGTACAAGGTCCTGCCCTCCGGGCTGTCCCTGTTGCCCCGTGTCTTCATGTAGAGGCAAACCGTTGTGTGCACACAGGGACTTGGTGCTTTCACACATCAGCCGGTTGGGCCTTCAGGTCAACTGGGAAAAGAGCAAACTCTCCTTGTAGAGGATCTCTTTTCTCGGTATGGAGTTGGATTCGGTCGAGCATGCCTCATGCAAGGAAGTGCTCAGTCGGTGTTGAACTGCCTGAATATGTTCAAGGGCAGGACGGCGGTCCCACTGAAATGGTTTCAGAGGCTCCTGGGGCATATGGCAGCTGCAGTGGCAGTCACGCCGCTGGGGCTGCTTCATATGAGACCACTTTAACACTGGCTCCATGGCCGAGTCCTTAGGTGGGCGTGGCTACGCAGTTGTGCGATGGGGGGCCACGTTCGATGGGCTTGCAGTGTCGGGGGTTTGGACGGGCCTCCAACTGCACTGGCACATCAATTACCTAGAGTTTCTGGCAGTGCGCCTTGCCTTCATCCGTCTCAAAGGGCGCTTACGAGGCAAGCACGTTCTGGTCCGCACGGTTGGCAGATTCCTCTGAGGAAGGATCTACTGACTCAGAGACGGGGTTGGAGCGAAGGCTGTCTCCCTTCACCCTTAAAGTCTATGTGGCTGCGATTGCTGCCAACCGCGACCCCGTCGAAGGGAAATCGGTGGGGAAGCATGACCTGATCATCAGGTTCCTTAGGGGGGCGAGAAGGTTAAATCCTCCACGGCCCCCCTCCATACCTTCTTGGGACCTGTCTCTAGTGCTCAGAGCGCTACAGCAGGGCCCATTTGAGCCCTTGCAGACAGTCGAGCTGAAGTTTCTGTCAATGAAAACTCTGCTCCTGCTTGCATTGGCCTCCATCAAGAGGGTAGGGGACCTGCAGGCAATCCTGAGGCCCCAGCCCCGGCTATGTGCCCAAGGTTCCCACTACTCCCTTCAGGGATCAGGTGGTGAGCCTGTAAGTGCTGCCCCCGGAGTAGGCAGACCCAGCCCTATCTTTGCTTTGTCCTGTCCGGGCATTGAGATGCTACGTAGACAGGATGCAAAGCTTCAGGACCTCAGACCAGCTCTTTGTCTGTCACGAAGGCCGGCAGAAGGGAATGCCGTCTCTAAGCAGAGGATGTCCCACTGGATAGTGGATACCATCACCCTGGCTTATCAGGCACAGGGTGTGCCCTGCCCGTTCAGGTTGCAAGCTCACTCTACTAGAAGTGTTGCATCCTCCTAGGCGCTGGCTCGTGGCACCTCGCTGACAGATATTTGTAGAACTGCGGGCTGGGCGACCCCCAACATGTTCGCTAGATTCTATAACCTTCGTGTGGAGCCGGTATCCTCCTGTGTTCTCACCTCAAATGGGTAGAAGTACTGAGAGGCCCCGGATTCGGGACGGCTTGCTAAAACTGATCCAGAGAGTCCATATCGTAGACCCTGTCGATCTCATCCGTCTCCTCGGCAGCCAGACGTGGTGGAGCGTCCGGAGCCAGGCCCTCACTCGATGAATCCGTGAGAACCGGTAGAGGGCTGGGTTCCATATGTTGAGACCTAAGTGGATCCCATATGTGTAAAGTCCACGGTATAGCCTCAGAGCCCGTGTTTCCCCGGCAGACTTCTGCCATTCCCAAGAGGGTTATAATCACCTCTAATCTTCCATATGCACCTAAGCGGTTGTCCATGTGTGTAAGTGCTTCCGAAACCTCCTTTGGGAAGGACGGGGCTTCTGCAACGTTCCTGTCCCAAGTGGTACGAGTACGTTTTCCCAGTGTTATCCAGTCTTACTGAGTGGGTAGTGCCATAGTTGCAGTAACTGGTCTTCTTGTGGTAAGCCCCGACCTGCGCAAAAGAAGGGGCGCAGGAGGCTTCCACCGGACACTGGAAGGGGCAGTACCTGTGGCCCTTTGGTAGGGATCCCAATTCGTCGGTCATCCGGTGTGATGTCGAGAGTAACCGACTGAAAGGGAACGTCTCGGTTACGTATTGTAACCCTCATTCCCTGAAGGAGGGAACGGAGACATCACGTCCCGTCGCCACAGCTTCTGTACCACCGCTGAGTGGCCGGGTCACCGGCTCGGCTCCTCAGCGAAAACCTGAATATGTGCTGCACCGGCTGCCTACTTATACTCATGCTGTGATCAGTGGCAGCAGGATGCAATAATCGCATGCCAATGTGCATTGGCTCGTTTAGTTTACACTCGAAGTAGATTGGTCTCTCTAAGCGAGATCCCAATTTGTCGTTCATCTGACGTGTTGTCTCCGTTCCCTCCTTCAGGGAACGAGGGTTACAATACCTAACCGAGACGTTATCTGTTTTGTTTACTTTAGAAATCTTGAGATTAATCATGATTCATATTTTTATTGACAGGCCTACTGTGTTTAAATTAAAAGCGCCTGAAAGCAAGCTTGTGTATTTATTGTTTTAGCAGAAGTACAATAAATTAAAAAACCAAACAAAACATAAACATCATAATCGAAATTATCTGTTAAATTTTAATCAGTTAACTATACTAACATAGGTGACTATATTTAGGCTACTAACACAACACTGTAATTAAAAAAAAAGGGAAAGACTGCTTGCATATATGTACATGTGAGTCATGGGATCTCATGATCGCCTGCATTACAGCATCAGTTACCTGTTCAGGTAAACCCCGCCCACAAATAACAAGACTATTTACAGTGAAGCAGTGACTGAATTCTTGAGCGCAGGCACACCAATAGTTTCAGCCAAAACAAAGCCACAGCAGTAGCAGGAGCATCCACCGAATTTTCCTTCGAAAGGTTGTTATTTTCCGTCTTCTCTCTTTACTCCCCCGTCGCTGTTCATTGATATCGCTACTTATAGTGAGTTTGTAAATCTCCACAGATGTTTCTGTATGGTCTCCTTTGCTGTGTCGGGGTCGTGCACTGTTACGGTCACGGACGTGTCAGCGAAGTGTGTGGATCTATGACGCCTAATCACGGGTCTAGCGCTCAGACCAGCACTGCTCCGTTCAACATCACTGCCGACAAGACCACCTTTAAAGAGGGAGATCAAATCACAGGTTGGGCTGATTCTGCAGCTACTTTGCTTTGAAAACAGCTTTCATAGCTGTTTAGGGAATAAAAGTTATTTTTACCTCATGAAGTTTCAGTTCTATAATGTAGACAAAACTTGAGCAGGTCTGTGTAAACAACTTAGCGGTTTGTACTACAGTATAAAACAATAGAACTATTATGCATTTGCACTATTATGCTATTAAGTATTTTAGAGACGATCAATAAATGGAAACAGTTTACAAAAAGATTTCAAAATTTAACTTTAAATATATTAATCATATTGTTACTTAATGTTAGCTAATGCATTAATGTTAACAAATAAGACCTTAATAATAAATTACCATTAAAAGTTACCATTAAAATAATTGTATTGTTATTATGCAGTATACTATGTTTAACTAACCTTTAGAAATTAGTTGCTATTATGTAATAAATGCTTATACAATAGCGTATTTAAAAAGTACTGTTACTAAATGTAATGTAATGCATTTATGGTATATACTATACTAAACTATACTACACAACACTATACTATATGAATGTATAATCAGATTATCCTGAGTCACTATTGACAGTAATCAGTGAAATGTTGTTTACAGCTGGTCATCATATGATATCAGTTCATGTATGTAAAGAGGTTCCACTGTTTCTTCTTTCTCAGTATTGTTAAACAGCCAATCAGGATATCAGTTTGAAGGGTTTATGTTACAAGCACGTCGAGTGGGATCTACTACTCTCATTGGCACTTTTACTGTGACGGACAGTAGTGTACAGCTCCTCTCCTGCGATGGAGTTGCTGTGAGTTTATCTACATTACTTACATAGTGTTTGGTGCAGAAGAAACCAAACAAATATATTATATATCATTATATATATTATTATGTACACTTGAGGCTACTTATAAAATTTAATTTTTATATATGCTATTTCATATCCATTTCGCTAATACATTAGTATGGGATGACATTGGTGTAGCTGTTTTTATTATTGTTATTAAAATAACATTGGCTAATTATCAGATATTGCCCCATTTTTATATTGTATTATTATTATATTATTCAGAATAGAGCAGTCTCTCACACATCAGACAGTAAAAAAAGTTCAATTCAAGCTAAATGGACAGCCCCTACATCTGGACAGATCGGCGATATAGAATTCAGGTATACTTTTGAATATGTTTATCATTTGTGTGACACTTATACTTATTTGTCATTTTTATTTATATATCTCGGTGTGATTTGTAATGGAACGTTTGGGGTTGTTTCAGAGCCACATTTGCGAAAGGTTTTTCTACCTTTTGGGTTGGTGTCAAGAGCTCTACTGTGGCATATAATGGTACAGGAACTTCTTCTGCAACCCCAAATACTCCGACTGTAAGTCTAGCTTTTATTTTAAACCAAAAATGAAAACTAGGAAAATTAATTATCTATCTCTTTGTACTGTATGTTGTTTTATATTCAGCAGAAATTGCTCTGTTGATTTCAGGTTTCATCAAATCCTGATTGTGGGAAAACCAAAGTCTGCTTCAGTCAGCCCAGCAACTGTGACCCAACTGCCAACACAGGCTGTTACTTCATGGCAGTTCAGACATCATCTAACCAATCAGAAATGAGGATTGAAATGTTTGGCCAGGCCAGCGGATATGTCTCCATTGGGTTTTCAGATGACCAGGAAATGGTGAGATATCAGCATGAAACTGCTGAACTGGGCTGAGTCTTATCTGGAGACCTACCTCTGTCAGCACTGACTAATTATGCATCCACAAAAAAACATCTGCAAACCCCATATGTGATTTTGTTTTTCCAGGAACAATGAGACATCATGTTCATATGGTTTTAAAAAGTTAGCATTTTTTTTGTTTGTATTTTCAGGGCAATGATGACATCTACATCTGTGGTAAGGACAGCAGCGGCAACCTCCAAGTGCAACATGCTTTTTCCACAGGAAAAACAGCTCCAACTATTCTCTCACTGGTACATTCCTCTAGTGTGCCACCATTTCTACCTGTTATGTGATTAGATATCATCACTCACACATATTCTATGTTTACAGGTGAATGTGACTAATATCAATACAGCGTTGATGAATGGAAATATCAATTGTTCTTTTACTTCCCGTAATGCCATTAGCACGGGAAGTAGAGCATCGTCCACTAGCGAATACTACCTCATGATTGCTGCAGGACCCTCCAGCAGTCAAGGTCTGTGGTTCTATGTTATATAAAAAAAATGGTCAAATGTAATGTAGCGTTATTTTAGTATAATTTCATATTGATAATGTTTTTTATTAATAAAATAAAATAATTATTACAGTAATAATGAAATTATATAATTATAATAGCAATATACAGTATATGTATACAGATGTGGTCAAAATTTTACATACACTTTGTAGTAACTGAAAAATGTTATTATACCAAAATAAGAGGGATCATACAAAATGCATGTTACTTTTTATTTAGTACTGACCTGAATAAGATATTTCATATAAAAGACATTTACATATAGTCCACAAGAGAAAATTATAGTTGAATTTATAAAAATGACCCCATTCAGAAGTTTACATGCGCTTAATACGGTGTTGTTACCTGGATGATCCACAGCCGCTTTTTTTTTCGAAGTTGTTCATGAGTCCCTTGTTTGTCCTGAACAGTTAAACTGCCCACTGTTCTTCAGAAAAATCCTTCAGGTCCCACAAATTCTTTGGTTTTCCAGCATCTTTTGCATATTTGAACACTTTCCATCAATGACTGTATGATTTTGAGGTCCATCTTTTCACACTGAAGACAACTGAGTGCAAGGCAAGGCAAATTTTATTTATAGAGCACAAGTTTAACACAACCGTAGTTGATCCAAAGTGCTTTACAATAAAAATAAATCAGAATGTTAAAAAAGAAAAAGAGGGTAGAAAAAGAGACATAAATAGAAATAAAAAAACAAGTCTCCCAGAAGGCAAGGCAAGGCAAATTTTATTTATAGAGCACAAGTTTAACACAACCGTAGTTGATCCAAAGTGCTTTACAATAAAAATAAATCAGAATTTTAAAAAAGAAAAAGAGGGTAGAAAAAGAGACATAAATAGAAATAAAAAAAACAAGTATCAAAATCAATCAACATGTATGGTATATTCATAGATCACCAACTATTCAAAGTACATACACAGCTTCACTCGAATGCTAGAGAGTAAAAATACATTTTTAAGCTGGATTTAAAAGCATCCAGTGATGGAGAGGCCCTGATGTTCAAAGGTAGACTGTTCCAGAGCTTTAGGGCAACTACAGAGCTCAATCACCTTTTGATTTACAATGAGTACGAGGGACAGATAAAAGTAACTGATCACAAGATCTTAATGACCTAGAGGCTGTGTATGGCCTAATAAGATCACAAATATAATTTGGGGCAGAATTATGCAATGCCTTGTATGTGAAAAGAAGAATCTTAAAGTCGAATCTAAATTGTATAGGGAGCCAATGCAACGAGGCAAGGACAGGGGAGATATGATCCCTTTTCTTTGTTTCTGTTAACAATCTGGCTGCTGCATTTTAAACCGTCTGTAATCTGAGACAGTGTAGATTTAGGTAGGCCAATGTACAGAGTGTTACGGTAATCCAAGAGGAAATTAGTGCATGAATTACAATTTCAAGGTCTTTACTAGAAAGAAAGTGTTTCACTTTTGCCACTGTCAAACGCATATAAAAATGTTTAGCAGAATGCTCAGAAAGTTTGAATATACACAAGGTAAGATTGTCAGTGAATAATGAAAATTCCTCCAAGAAAGCTATCGATTGGCTTCAGAAGACTTGTAATATGGTGCACTGAAAGTATGGACTCTTACGCTAATTTTATGGTGGTTTTTTTCAAGCTTGACTGTCCCTAGTCACTGTATCCTTTTATTGTATGCAAACGAGCAGCATGAACGTTCTTTAAAAGATCTCTTTTTGTTTTCTGGAAGAAGAAGTGGAATAGCATGAGTAAATGATGACAGAATCTTCATTTATTTGTAGGTAACATCCAGATCCACACAAGTAAATATGTCAGTAGTACAAAGGCTAATTTACAGGATCCAAGCCAGGTCATTACAGGTACTGAAGAATTCCCAGTGATTGTTAAAGCCCACGGTGAGTACATCACGAGAGACTGCATCTGGATTCACATTAGAGCATCATATCAGCGTTATTGTGGTCCTAATGATACTGATCTGTTCCAGGCTGCCTTATGTTAATCTCCTGGATGACCACGGGCAGTATAGGAATGCTCATAGCACGCTATTTAAAGGGAGTTGCCAAGGACCATGGTTGCTGCGGTAAAGATTTCTGGTTTATGGTAAGTTGCGATCTGTTTTTACACTCCTCATACTGCACAAATCTTTCAAACTGACTGCGCACTCTGTGTAAATTATAAAATCTGATCCATTCATTTAGATACTGTAATCAGGTTTACTAACCATATTGCAGATTGCATGCAGATTTATGCATTTGCCAAATGTTTTTATTGCATGCAAGGTATACATTTGTAAATTTATGCAATCAAACCCATGACCTAGGTGTTGTTAGTGCCATGTTCAACTTTTATGCTTAAAAATCACACGTGAATTTGGCTGGATCAGGACTGTAAAAATGTGGATTCTGGATTTCATTTTTTTTCTCCTGTTTACACTATAAACAACTTAACAGATTTAAAAAAAAGTCCTGCCCATGTGAGCCGCTTTTTCTAGCTCATCAGCTCATTTGTAAGTGCATTACATGTGTCATGTTGACATATCTGTTTCTTCAGCATAACAGAGGTAAAATTTCCTTGATGAATGCTTTGCAGTAATAAGTATGTGCACAGTTAGTGTGAGCAAGATAAGATAAGAAGCTTATGGTGTGTGAACATCACTTGTCATTAACAACCTTTTTGCATAATATAACATTTAACAGATTACAGCCCGATAATACTTTTATACAACTGTTCTATAAATACAAAGATAATATTGAGTAAGTTACATTTCAGCACAATATCAGCACTCTTAAAAATGATTGGACTGGATGTAGCTAATGTACATTCAAATTGTGTGTTTTATCTGTTTTAATACATTTTCATTTGAATGCACATGGATTGATTTTTAAGCATTATGTATTGTTGTTAAAGACCTACAGTAAGTTTAACCTGTTAAATGTGTTAATATAGCTAAATATGATTTATTTCTTGTTCCAAAGGCCCATGTGTCTCTGATGGCCCTGTCAGTCACTGCCACGGCCATTGCATTCATACTGGTGTTTTCTTATGCCCGGGATTGGAGTGGGGTAAGCTAAAATAAATCAAAGAAGAAAATAATTTCAAAAAAATAATTTCAGATGTTTAAAGTTAAGTGTCTCTGTAATTCAGTATTTTATCTGTGTGTGTGTGTGTAGGGGGCTCATCCTGTCCTGGGCTGTTTGGTGATGATCCTCAGTCTTATTCAGCCCATAGTTGCTGCTTTCCGCTGTGAGCCGCAACATGAACGGTGAGAGAAACTTCTCTTAACCAAATAAGAAATAGACAAATGAGGGGGAAGCATCACTTTAATGTGATGTTTTTTTTTGCAGGAGATTTGTTTTCAACTGGGCCCATTCCTTCATTGCTTTAGCTATCAAAGGCCTTGCAGGTATGACAGCAACTTTATTATCTTCAGCAATGTCTTCCATTTCCTCAATATCTAAAACAATATCTCTTTTTATTCTGTGACACAGTTGCTGCAATTTTCACTGGTCTGGCACTGTTTGAAGAATATAAGGAGGATGGATGGATGTTGAAAGTTATGGGAGGTTTTGTTACCTGGGAGGCTCTGATGTATATTCTTCAAGATCTTAACTTGCGCGCCAAGAAAAAAGGTAATACTACATTTGCATAAAGTTATTTTATATATATATATATATATATTTTATTTTTTATTTTTTTTTTAAAGAAGTGTCTAGTCCTCACAAAAGCTGTATTTAATTGATAAAAATACAGTAAAAACAGTAATATTGTGAAATATTATTATAATTTAAAATAATTGTTTAATATTTTAATATATTTCAAAATCTAATTAATTTCTGTTATGGCAAAGCTGAATTTGAAGCAGCAATCACTTCAGGTTTCAGTGTCACATGATCCTTCAGAAATCATTCTAATATGATGATTTGCTGCTTAAGAAACATTTCTTATTATCATCCATGTTGAAATGTGTTAATATTTTTGTAGTTTTTTTTGATGAATAGAAAGTTCAAAAGAACTCTTTTGCAACATTATAAATGTCACTTTTGATCAATTTAATGCATCCTTGCTAAATAAAATGAAAAACTCACCCACACTAAGTATTAATTTATTTGAAATAGAAAATCTTACTGACTTCAACAGTTGTGTATATATGTATCGTATATTATATTATTTTTATTTATTATTATTATTATTTGGAAATTTATTATTTAAATAATACAATGCATAAATGGTGTATTTTACCCTTGTCATTTTATTTTAGGTTCTGAGATTTGCAGTTTCGGATCGGTAAGTCTAACATAAAGACATACAAGCTTACATTTCATTGCATAGATAATTTAGCAAGCTACATATATACAATGTAATCATGTAATTTTCATGTCTTAAAATAATATTTTGTTTGTTTGTTTGTTTTTGTTAGACGGGACCTGAAACAGTCCTGCTTGTCCTGTTTATATTGGGAAACCTGCCCTTCTTAATAGCACTTCTTGTTGGAATAGGCAGGTCTTAAATAACCCCAACATTCTACGGCCTTCCTCACTGATTTTGATGCCACTTTTTGGCTATTTTGTTTTATGAGTATGAGTATATTTGTTATATTTGTTTAATTAACTCAGTGTTCATTTGGAGTTACATATAAGCTCAGCAGAATCGCTACATGATTTTTTGATTGCTATTTTTAGTTAATATGGCATTATTTCTGATTAGAGATTCACCACTGTGCCTTTGAGAAAGGAACATAACTGCATTATGCTATTAGGAGATTGTTCTTGCAATTACTGTTCTGTAAATTGCTCATTGCGATGGAAGAACAGTAGTGAAATTATCTTGGGATTTAATCAAAGAGGCCATTTATTTTATTTTAATTTAATTTAGAACTTGACAAATGTTGATTAAAACATTTATGGAAAATATTTAACATTTTATAAATATTTTTATATAATTGTAGGTGTATATTTAGACATTATATTATGATTGTAACTTTAGTGTACAAGTCAACAGCACTCAACCACCAGATGGCAGTGTCATAAAAGGTATTTGTATGCAACTATGTAGTATGTTTATTGTACATTTTCAGACTATTTAAGGGATGAGATAAGAATTCTTCAACTGAAATTAATTCATACATTTTATAGATTAATAAATAGGCCATTTTGTTTATTTTTTTGGATTAATAATTGCTGAATTGGGACGGAAGCGCTAAGATGTACTGATGAATGATGTTAGTTAAACTGAATGACTAAACTAGTTAATCTGGACTAATACATTAGTCCTAAGTATGATGGAAATCAGAAAAAAAAGATGTTTACAAGCTTTGATGAAAGATTACAAAAACATGAATTTCTTTTGGAAAAACATGCACAGATGAATTGTTTGCATTAAGACCAGGAATGTGTTTTGTAAACAGTAAACCCATTCAATTCTGAACAGTATTTCCAATTTATGCCTCCACATTAGACAAAGAAGAGAAAGCAAACTCCTAGCTACAGTATAAGGGTTAATGTTCACAATACACTTGAACACTCCTCATTCAGGACCTTACTGAAACACACCGCTGTGGCACTCTGGTGTTGATTTAGCAGCTTGTGTGAAGTCAGATGGTTGGCTTTCATCTTTTACAGTGTTGTGCCTCGTGGTTCTTGCTGTTTCAGCACAGGCCTCCTGGTGTTCGGCTGGTAAACGTGGAGGGCAGTTGTGGCAGAACAGAGGAAACAGACATAAAAAAGCGTAATAGTAGCACTCTGCTCTGTGCCTGATTCACAGGCTGACTGTGTCGGGGTCAGGGGACGTCCTTTCAACTTGCTTTGAATCAGAGGAGTCACAACCATAATATATAGGAGTGTTCACCTTCTCTGTGTTGCACAAAGGCCATTTTATTTTAGTTTCGTCCAACTCAAGAAGTGATATTTTTGGCTCCTGAATTATTGTATTAGTTTAAGGTGGGATACAGTCATTCACACCAGTGTTATTTTAGTAATGTTAATATACTATTATAGTTTTTATAAATATTTTAGCTTTTTTTGTAATTTTGTCTTAAGCGTGAGGAGCTAATCTGAGGTATCTTCGATGGGTTCAAAGGGAGCTTTGCACAGAGCCTCCAGAACCACTGCCAGATCCCATGAGGGCACCTTGGTGCACTGTACTGGCCTCAGCCTCCGGGTGCCACGGAGGAAACGTGTAACTAACGGGTGCCTTCCCACTGACTGACCACCCTGAAGGGTGTGGTAAGCAGCTATGGCCGCCACATAAACCTTCAGAGTGGAGGGGGATAACCCTGCGGAGAATCGCTCCTGCAGAAACTCCAGAACTGAACCAACTGAGATTCCGATCAGGAGGGACCTCCTCTCTCAGGCGGGGGGCACCATCCTTCACCCCCGCCCGGAGTTATGGAAGTTGTGGGCGTGGCCCCTGATGGGGCACAGCTCATAGCATCTGGTCTCTCGACTGAGTTTGTTGGGACCATACTCCATTCCAGAACTCCCGCCACGAGGAAACTGTACGTGAGCCCACAGGAGGATCTGGTACGCCAGCCTGTAAAGGGGGCGTGAGCGCAGACCCCCCTGCCGATTTATGTAGGAGACCATCGATGTGTTGTCTGTGCGGACAAGCACATGATGCCCCCTTAGATCTGGAAGGAAGTGTTTCAGAGCTCGAAACACGGCCAACATCTCCAGGCAGTTGATGTGCCACATGATATGATGGCCTTCCCACAGACCTCGGGCAGAGCGGCCACTCATGACCACTCCCCAACCTGTGAGGGAGGCGTCTGTCGTTAGCGTTACATGACAACACGGAGCCCCCAGCGACCGGCCTTGAGACAGGAACCAAGGTTTCTTCCACATGTCTAAGGCACGTAAGCATCGCCGCGTAACCTTGATTGTGTGAAGCGGGTTGCCCCTCGGGGAAAACCCCTTGGCCCTGAGCCACCACTGTAAGGGTCTCATGTACAGCAGGCCAAAAGGTATCATGTTGGACGCAGCTGCCATCAGACCCAACAGTCTCTGAAACTGTTTGACAGTAAGTGACTGGCCTTCTCTCACTCCCCTCACGGCTGTGAGAATCGCTTC